ATATATATATATATATATATATATATATATATATATTCAAATGAATAAATATAGATAAATGTACGAGTAAGCGTTCGTTTACAAATACACACACACACACAATAAAATATATATATATATATATATATATATATATATATATATATATATATATCCTACAGCTTAAGAAAGAACAGTGTTGAATGTTAAATAACACAGCTATTTAGTATGTAAAAAATATATACATAATACCCTACATTAATTGCACAACTCGGAGTTTCATATTGACTGCAATCTTCAGGTGCAAATATATATAGTCGTTAGAATGTTCGTTTTCTGACCATGAGGGTCGGGTTTGAATCTCAACATGGTCGATTTGTCAGGAAGGAGACTTTCTGATGTTATCGGACTGACTCGTTGTCGATTTCCACCTTTGGAAAGTGCCTGAGGACCATATCAAGCCTTTTGAGGGAAATTGGGTTGACGGGACTCTTGGGGTCCGTCGATAGCAGTTCTAGCACGAAGCCACGTGACCGACCGTGCTGACCTTCTCCATATTGTAGATCACGCTAGATATTCTCTTCCAGTTTCTGGGAGAGAATATCTACTTGCAATATATTGCCACAGGTGGCTATTGAACAAGCACAAATGTGCCTGAGTGATCGTCTGCCACAGGGATTGGCTACTACACTAGTAGACGGCTATCCTTGAATACGATATATATATATATATATATATATATATATATATATATATAGTATATTATAAAAGAGTTAAATAGCGGTTTAAATAACTTATTTAAACCGTTATTTAACTCCTCTCTTCATAACTTTTTTCTGTGAAATTTTAATCCCCTTCTTTATCTGTAAGCCTTCCTGTCCCTCTTTCTTCTATTACACCCCCTCTCTAGATCTTTAATACATTTCCCATCTCACACTTGTTTCTTACTCGCACACATACACTCTCAATAAAATTTTGTTTTTTATACCCAGAGTTATTAGGTTGGTGCAAAAATAATGACGTAATAATGTCGTTTTTTGACGTATTTTTAACGTCAAAAACGGCATTATTACGTCATTATTTTTGCACCAACCTAATATATTTTCCAATTTCTCCATTGTAATGAATTATAACCATGGAATATTAGTGTTTGAGCCTTTTATATTATATTCTTACTCTGTCCTGGACATTGAGTTCTACCTGGATTCTATCCTCTTAGGATTTTATACACACACACACACACACACACACACACACACATATATATATATATATATATATATATATATATATATATAAATATGCATTGACCACTAATATATATATATATATATATATATATATATATATATATATATATATATATATATATCGGAAGGAATATAAATGTGTAGGTATAGCTTCTAACTTGTAAAACTCTTTTTCTAGCTTCTTGTTTTCCTATCAATTTTGATCTTCAGAAATTTAAATGTCGTATCAATCCTCATCTTCTGTCTTTCTGTTCTTTCATTCTTTTCGCTCCTTCATAAAGTTTTTCTTATATTGTTTCACAAGTCTAGTGTCAATTGTTGTCTTTCCTACCTATACCCATAATATGAACCTTTTACTTAGTCTTCTTCACCTTTAAACCATTCTCATTCAGCAACCTTTGGGTTTTGTATCCAGTGAATAATAATATAAACATTTTCCGCTGTGAAAATTGTTTGTGTTGAAAATAACTGGTGACACCTACCACCGGCTTCAAGAATTCTTCGCTCAACCGTTTCGCTTCTGATATAATATTCAAACATTCTTCAATGGTGCTTGTGCTTTCATTATTTGCAGAAGTTCTTGTTTCTAGTGCAATTTTTCAGGCACGTTGTGGTTCAACGACATGCGATGATTACATCGTGTCTGTTGTTGTTTAACATATAAGTCAATGGTTAATCATTGTTTAGTTTTTATCTTTTTTTTTTTACAATAATGCTCACTCTACACAAGAGTTTGGTTTGGTTTTTGTTTTAGGACATATCAACCTCAATGGGTTATTTACTGCCGTTTTGTTTTGTCAAAAAATCTATTTCTGGTAATATTTTTCCTTCAAGAATGTATTGCTGGTAATATTTATTTCTTCAAAAATTTATTGCTGATAATATTTTGTTTTGTCAAAAATGCATTTCTGGTAATATTTTTACTTAAAAAATCTATTTCTGGTAATAGTTTTCCTTCAAGAATGTATCGCTGGTAATATTTTTTTTTCAAAAATGTATTCCTGGTAATATTTTTTTCTTTTTCAAAAATTTATTGCTGGTAAATTTTTTTACAAAGTATTTTTGGTATTAAAACCTATTTTTACCCTTTCATAGTGTTTTTACTCCAGTTTGGGTGGTTAACTATTTGCCCATAGCTGAGACCCTAACAGGTGCTGTCACCCCGGGTCAGGGTGAACCTGGGAACACCAGCAATTAAAAGGTGGTTCAAAGCTCCTCAAAGCCTCTTGATCAGAAGCCTTGCTGTTGGATGTAGTTTATCATCTTACCCAAGACGCGGATGTAGTTTATCATCTTACCCAAGACGCGGATGTAGTTTATCGTTTTACCCAGTACGCGGATGTAGTTCATCGTCATACCCAGGACGCGGATGTAGTTTGTCGTCTTACCCAGCTAGAGGTAGAGGATTATATAGTAAGAAGGATATTTTATGGGAAAATGAGGGCATGATAACAGTTAACCCTTGACTTGTTCAGGTTAAGATCACACTGAGCGTGGAAGCTTACTCTTGGGAGATGCTTCCCAAACGCAGCGGTCTGTTAGAAGAATCTGCTCGAGTAGAAATTACATCTCCCCAATTCTGTAGGAAAAAAGGTGCTTTGCTACAATTTGCGTGGTATGGCTTGGCTTAAACGTGAAATCTAGGACTGGTGAAACGAAGGAAAGCAATTCGCCTAAACTCTTTCCATAGTAATACCGATAGAATAGCGAGGGGCTGGCATCGTTTCGCCTGCAGGAAAATGGCTGTAGTATAGAAAATAATTCATCACCCAGAAGGCTGCATAGAAGCTTTTGGTTTCTGTTGAGACTGAAAAGTGAAGACTGGGTAACTGCTGGTCATATATGGCAGCAGTCCTCCATTTTCGGCGTGATCTGGCTCTTGTAAAGGTGCGGGATAGCAAAAGTAGTTATGTGCTTACTGAAGCCTTACAGGGAGACGACCATTTCTCCAGCATCTTTAGTGATGGATTATATGTACTAGTTCTACAAGTTCTGTGTTGAGTCCTAATATGCGCTCAAGTCTGGGGTCCTCCCAGTTAGAAGTCACGTTCATCATGATAGGCGAAAAATCATTGTCCGCTCCGAGGTAGTGGATCGTCACTAGTTTGGATTTCGAGGCATTGAATGTGAGCAGTCAGCTTTCCCATATTTCCCCAAAGACGAAGAAAAGACTCGAGGCGACAGAGATGTGGTTCTACAGAAGGATGCTGACGAGAGTGTGAGCAACGATGAGATCTTAGACAGGTTGCAAACAAGGAGGAGGTTTATACTTAATATCAGGAAGAGGCAGTTGAAGTTTCTGGGATACATAATGGGTAAGGAGGGCCTGAAGAATCTGATACTCACCGGTCGAATAGAGAGAAAGAGACAAGGGAAAACAGTGCGTGACATGCCTGACGAGCTTGAGCAAGTGGATGACAGAACATGGTCTGGAGGTGGAAGTAGAGGGAAGGAACTTGTTGAGAGCTACAAGGGATAGAGGGAGGTGGAGAGACATGATCGCCTACGTCCTGAAAGGACATGGCACATAAAAAGAAAAGAAAGAAAGAGCTGTTATAGCTAGGTCAGAGGAGAGGTCAGTTGCCGGTGGAGTAGAGGTTATTTCCTGTTCAGGATTGAGGTTCAGTATTGAGTGCCTGGTTCCTTCTAAACTCTACTTCAACTTTATACTTCTAACGTCGTCCCCTTAACTTTAATTGTTTTTCTTTCAATAGGACCAGTATTGCTTTTATGTTTTATATAGCGTGTACGTTTTCCACGACCAACCCATTTTGAAGTTGTACATCGAGAAGAAGCCATTTTTCTCCGTTATTAACTACTAGCTGAGGAGAGAAGAAACGGGATTCACACCTTTCCAAGTTTATTTAAAATTTTTAGGCTCATGTATGTTGACTTGGGTAAAGGATTATTTCTTTTAGGAGAGGAGATACTTGAATTATTATACAATACCTTTTCTAATATAAAAGGTTTAAATCAAAATGTTTCACTATTTAAAGTACAGGGTAACCCGGATATAAGAGAAACACGGATATAAGAGAGATTTTCTCTGGTCCCAAATTAGAGCCTGTGTTAATGTATATAAAATAGACCAAACCTGGATATAAGAGAAACCCGGATATAAGAGACTTCTCCGGTCCCGACAACTCTCTTGTATCCGGGTTACACTGTACATGAATACATAAATAACTTATCAAATGAAAATAAGTTTCATTAAAAAAATAAAACTTAATAATAACAATTAATCATTAATAAAAAAAATAAATATAATAAATAAATAAATATGTATATAAACAAATAAGAAAATAAAAAATCCATCAACAAGAATAACAATATTTACACACTTTTGTTTATTTGGCATTAAATTACTTCACTTCGCACCCTCCATAGTTTCACTTGATTTTCACAGCGACGCCTAAAAATAATTTTTGAGCGTTCTTAAATTGAAACATTTTTTAAAAACCTAACGATGTTTTACTTCTGCTTATAAATGCATGTTGCAAAATAAAATTCTTAAATTTGCCTTCATAAATTCCATCAGAGGACAAAACGCGTTAGTAAAGAAAAATTATCCTTTTGTATTTATTCTTTTTATATTTTATTTATATTTAAATTTTTCCACAAACACACACGCACAAACACACACTCTCTCTCTCTCTCTCTCTCTCTCACACACACACACACATATATATATATATATATATATATATATATATATATATATATATATACGTGCGAGACATGAGAAATCTGGTCAAATTCTTCAAATATAACTAGTATATGCTTGAGTGAGAGCAGTAATAAAAGGTATTTATAAGATGGAATAGATAGATAGATAGATAGATAGATAGATAGATAGATAGATAAAAGAAAGAAAGAAAAAAAAAAGAAAGAAAGAATGGAATAGATAGATAGATAGATAGATAGATAGATAAAAAAAAAGAAAGAAAGAATGGAAAGAAGATGGAATAGATAGATAGATATAGATAGATAGATAAATACAAGATAGATAGATGAATGAAAAGAAAAAGAAAAAAGAATGGAATAGATAGATAGATGAATAGATAGATAGATAGATAGATAGATAGATAGATAGATAGATGAAAGAAAGAAAGAAAAGAAAGAAAATAATAGATAGATAGATAGATTTTTAGATAATAATAGATAGATAGATAGAAAGAAAAAAGAAAGAAAAAAAATGGAATAGATTAGATAGATAGATAGATAGAAGATAGATAATAGATAGATGCATAGATTGAAAAGAAAGAAAGAAAGAAAGAATGGAATAGATAGATAGATAGATAGATAGATAGATAGATGCTTAGATAGATCGGAGAAAGAAAGAAAGAAAGAATGGAATGTTGCTAGATAGATAGATAGATAGATAGATAGATAGATAGATAGATGAAAGAAAGAAAGAAAGAAAGAATGGAATAAATTGATAGATAGATAGATAGATAGATATATAGAACAATTCTCAAAGATAGACGGACATAGAGAGATAGATAAATACAATTGACCAGACTGAAATATTTTCAAAAAATATAATGGCTAGAAAGATAGCTTTGTTGTCTACGGTTTATCAACCATTTTACATGTTATTCAAAGCAAGAAAATATTTTAAATTGTAAGATTTTTTTAAGAAAATAATGATGTAGTGATAAAAGTCCCACTTATTAACCCATAACGGGGAAGAGGGAGAATAACCCGCCTATGCATGCTTGCAGCACCTGGTATTCCCAAACAGTCACCCATCTAGGTACTGACCAGGCTCGACGTTGCTTAAGTTCGGGAATTGGCGTTTGAATCTGGTGTTGCTATAAGTATAGATAGATAGATAGATAGATAGTGAAACAGGGAGACAGAATTTAATAAATTGATATATATATATATATATATATATATATATATATATATATTTACACATGCCTCATTAAATAATCTTTAATTAGCACAATGTCGTTGTCAGTGTCTTTATTTTCCGATAATCTCAACAATTTTTTTCGTACTAGAAAAAAAAACCCTGATGATGACATTGTGCTAATGTCGAAAGTTCATGGAATAAAATGAATATGCATCAACATGGTAATTTTCTTTCTACCTTTAATAAGGATACTAAGAAACTTGTCCGTAATTATGAGAGGATCCTATTAAAAATAAGTAGACAAAATTTGTCTAAATTATGTAATGAGACATGTTTTAATGAAATCATGCTGCCAAAATATACGCAATATATATATATGTGTGTGTGTGTGTGTGTGGATAGATAGATAGATAGAGAGAGATAGATAGATAGATAGATAGATAGATAGATAGATAGATAGATAGATACTTCCAGGAGTTCCACGACAAAAAGTTAATTTAGGGTTATTTGCTCCCAATTCTCAGAAAGCCATGTCATCGCTTTTCGTATTGCAACAAATAACTGAAGTATTCACGCAAGAATCTTTATAATTTTTTCTCTTTTCTCTGCCTTGTTTATATATATATATATATATATATATATATATATATATATATATATATATATATGGTTATCTCTGTGTGTATGTGTGTGATGTTTGTTGAAGAGGGGGAATGTCATGATGTGTTTTTTTTATTTGTTATTTCATTGTTGTCACAATATATATATGTTATTTTCCTTATTGGCATTTGCGGAAGTCGGTTGGCATTTGTAGAATTGCACGACAGTTGTTATTAGTAGTAGTAGTATTGTTACCATTTCTGTCGTGGGATTAATATATCCGTCCCCGTCGTTTCTAAACAGAAACGTTATTCTTCATCTGACTTGCCAAATTTCTAGGTAGAGAACCTTCCGGACGTGCGCCGTTTGCAGTCTTTTGTGAACAGCTCCATCGACGATTTCCCATCTGGCATTTTCTCGTTATAACGCACAATTTCCGCTTTCCTCTACCAATTATCCCGTGAAACATCACCGTTCTTTAACCCTTGGATTTAGTGTTTCATATGTCACGACCATGAGCCCGATACGTACCCCCAAACAACCTTTGTTACCCTCTTTTCTCAGTCGGTCTTTTCGTCTTCATATATATGAGAGAGCTTGGTCTTTGTACCTTATGTCACGCCCCAAGGAAAAGTTCTGTTGCCTTGACTTCTGAGTAGACGAGACATTTACACCCGGGGTATCACGTCCGTGTCTGCTTCCCTGGATTGATTTCTCCTTTCATTAAGTGTGCTGGAGGTAGACGTTTTCTGGGTTATTCGCCTGATAGTCAGGGATCCCAAACTTTGAGTAACTTCGAAGGTTATTCTATCAGCAGGTGTATAATATCGGTTCTCTTCTACTGCCATTTTGTGAATGTGTTCTAAACCGTACTGTCGTCTCCAGTGAAGTCTCTCGATGACATGACGTAGGGTACTGTTACGGCTGTACCTCCGAACGAATCAATCTCGGTTATTTATACATGCTCTACTGTGGGTGTGGTCTTTGTCACTACCAACTAGCTTTCCACCAAAACAAAATACAATCCACACATGAAATTAGCAAACCCAACCTCAGAAATTAAACCACCGTCATTGCCTTCCGTAATCCGATGGCGAAAAGTAAGTACTACTCGAGCAGCTTCTTACCGCGAACCACTGCTCTGTGTTTCCCCGATCATTACACTCTTAACCTATTCAAGTTTAGGATTAATTGTTATATCTCCCGTCCCCTATTCGCATAAACAGTTCCGCTTACTCTATAGTCCTCTAGTTCGAATGGCTCACTGTAAATAAAAAATAATTATTTTCTTTTCCAAACGTATCTTATTTTCTTTCACTATCAGTAACCTTCTTGCGTCTTAGTGATATTATCGCCTTGCTTGTAGGGAAATTAAAAACATCGGCCAAACATTCAGAAACGTCAAAATAAAAATGGTTAGGTTGAAGACTCCAGGTTCTCCACAGAGAATTGTCCCACGTGATTAAAGCGTTCATTCGTGAATCTGCTGACATAGTAATTGTGAGTTCAATCCTCTGATAAAATTCGAGCAAGATAACTGCAGCAAATTTTATGACAAGCAGAAGCAAATAGAAACGCTTTTGCAGTCTTTTATCGGACATTCTTTGATGCAAGTGTGGTTATCAAATGACCTGTGTCTTTTTATGGGGGGCTGGATAGACTTTCTTTTCTTTTTTTTTGTTTTGTTTGTTTGTTTGTTTTGTTTTGTTATGTATTTTTTTTTAAATAAGGAGCGAAAAGAGTAATACAGCTGATTGAAATAGCGACAATGAGTTTTTGAATCGAACACACATTTGAAAGCAGGTTCAAGAGGATGTACGTTCTTGAAGCCAGTCACCAGGGACTGAGGCAAATAAATCATCCATGGAGACCAATAGTTCTTAACCGCAGGCCACATGACCACAAGGGCGCCTGGTAAATCTATGGGACCACTGATAACTTTGGAGATTTTCCGCAAATCCCAAAATGTATAAGTTCATAATTTATAAGTACAATGAAAGTGCTACAACCATGTTTTCCTTTATACTTTAGTTCAAATAAACAATAACCGCTCGATCGAGTGTATCATTCATACCTATTTACTTTTCTGGCTGCTCACTTGTAAAATTCATATTACTCTAGACCCATAGTTCTTAACCCGGGTCCACATGGCCACTAGCGGGCCTTGTCAAATTTTATGCTGGCCACAGAAAATTTTGGGATTTGTGGAACCACAAGTCCTATGAAAAGTGCCACAATTCTACAACCATGTTACCCTCTCTATTTTAGTTTTAATAAACTTAAATTATGTAATAAAATAATTGTCTTTTATGAGTTCAATCCCCGGATAAATTCGAGCAAGATGCCTGCAACAAATTTTATGACAGCTAAAACAAATCGAAACGCCTCGGTAGTCTTTTATCAAACATTCTTTGATGCAAAAACGTATTTATCAAATAACCGGTGTCTTTGCCTGAGGACTGGATACAACCATTATGTAAAATTTATCTGCAGAACTTTTTTTTTATTTTGTATAACTTAATTTAATTCTTTCTTTTTTTGAGGAAGAAGTAGAAAAAGAAGAATAAAAAGAAGAACTTTTTAATCGTTCCGTAAAACTGAAGCGGCAACATTTATGAAGTTCTTTTTAGTTGCATTTTTTTAAATTATTATCGTTATTCCTGCTTTTCGAAAGTTTTTGTCCAGTCCTGCCGTAACGCAAAGAAGAACCAAAGAAATAATTCAACGCAAATGCAAAATAGAAAATCATCAATCAACGAATGCAAAACCTGATTTCGTTTTTTTTAAGTTATTCATTAAAATGAAATAAAAAAAATTGGAAGAAAAAAACATGTCTGCGTCAATCTCCTCACATTCAAGAAGAAGAAGAAGAAGAAGAAGAAAAAAAAAAAAGCTTGTTTGTTTTGTTTTTTTTGTTATTTTTTTTTTTTTAAGCGTTTCACCTCAGGCAAGGCGAGAAGTCCCTAGCACGCAGGGGTTACAGAGAATTGGAGCGAGAGCAAATAGGAGTGATAGAGGAAAGCATGAAGAGACGGTTAGGGGATAGATCAAGGCATCTGGAGACGTCGATTGGCATTACATTTGAATAGTTGGAAATTATAGCTATCAGGGAAGCAGGAAGAGGGGAGGGAGTTCCACAGGTGAGAGGTGCGTGAGATGAAGCTATTGGAGTAGAAGAGACGGCTACATTTAACAGTTTCGACAATGAAAAGGTGTGAGCGAGATGCCAGCCTAGCAGAACGCATAATTTCATGAAGTTTGGTAACCAGCGAAAGCAGCTCATCGGAGCAGTTACCATGACAGTATTTGTAAAAAAGACAGAGGGAGGCGACGGCACATATGTGTACAGAACTCTTTCAAAAATAAAAGCTTATTTCACTTAACTGGTTTGGTTTTAAAAACAAGAAATTATAAAGTTTATATGGAGAAATATCACTGTTTATTTGTTCAGGAAATTATAAATTGTGATTTTGTTGAAGTAAACGTCTGGGGGACATTAAAAATCATCACTCAAAAGGATTTCATACATAGAAAAATGTTGAGTGTCACTTGATGCCGACAATCGGCAACCAAACCCTCAGCCATCTCAAATGATTGAAACCAGTAATGGAATCAGCGAGGAAGTTCTTGGCTAGGAACATTTCGATACCATCTCTTAATAAAGGCTTGTACAACTGAATTACTGTGACATGCACAGAGTCGCCCTCATTAACAACAAAACTAATCCAAAGTTCCTCGTACTGGAGAATATACGGCGATTGCCTCTTACCAAAAGCGATATAAACATATCCACAACTTCACAGACGATTATTGCTCTAGTGATTTTGATCATCCATCACCGAGCGCTCCTCACTTGTAGCCTTGTGTCATACTTAGCTCAGCTTGGTAAACCTCTAAACATATTTTATTCGCGCAGAATTTCGTTAGGCACGTTGAACACGTGAGCAACGATGACGTCTTAGAGAAAATGGAAACAAAAAGGTCACTTATAAGTTAAAAAGAGTGTGACAGAAATGCACAGAATGAGGAAAGAATGCTTGGAAAATTTAACACTCACCTGACAGGTTGAAAGCAAGAAAGGCAAAGGAAAACAGCGTAACGAGTTTGGGTAAATGATTGAGCGAACAGGTATATACTGCAAAATGACATACTTTACTAAGGACTATAACGGATAGAAAGTCGCGGCGAACCATGATCGGCGATGTCCTGACGGGCCACCGTACATAGATGAAGAATCCTAATTTAATGCTCTACCTGTCATTTCTGGAAGTGAAGTAAAAATATAACTTTCAAGTCTATCAATCGTTTGTTCTGAGTATGGTATTTATTATGGATGTCCTTATCTCAGCTTTAACATGGTTTAAGTATCCGATTAACTCCTCCAACAAAGAAGAATCCGCTTAAGCTGTACTGATCACTTTGTAACCCTCTACCACGAGTGACCCCTAGGCATTATACAGTTTGAACTTCACTGTAAATAAAAAAAAAAATCTTTCTCCTCATTAACGTCTTCTCATTTTTTTTTCACTCTCAGTAACCTTCTTGCGTCTTAGTGGCATTATCGCCTTACTTGAAGTAAAATGAAAAACATCGGCCAAACATTCATAAATGTCAAAAAAAGATTATCTGAACAACACTCACCAGCAGGTAGGTTAGGTTTAAGACTCCAAGTTCTCCACAGAGAATTGTCCCACGTGATAAAAACGTTTATTTGTGAATCTGCTGACATAGTAATTATGAGTTCAATCCCCGGATAAAATTGGAGTAATGTGACCGTATAAATATGGATGTTGATTCAAGTGAATTTTCAAAAAATAACCAATTATTATTCGAACGTTGAATCTATCAGATTGCTGCAAAGGCTTCCAGCATTTTTACATTCACATTTTCTCCATATAAATACATAGCATCATTATTCCGACAAAGTATTTCGGCAGACCTTACGCTACATTGCAAATTTGTGCATTTCGTCATATTAATTTGATACAAATGACTTTTCACAACATCTTTTATTCATATAAATTCATAGCATCAGTATTCTGTTATCGTATTTTCCATGAATATGTAAAACGTTAAGCCATCTTTCTCAGATAAATGTTAGGTTCTATCACAAAGCATGATTGCGATTGATGGAGTTGGGAATAATTCTTGATCAAATCCAAAGAAGAATCAGCAATATTATTGATCTTCACCAGGCATCTCGGCTTCAGTCACTTTCCCACGTCCATGATGTACCTTCCGTTTGTTTTCTATAAATACGTTCACGGTAATTATTCGGATGAACTTTCATCTATGGTACTTAGACTTTATGAATTTAAGACCTCATCAATTTAAAGTTGACTTGGCTCGATATAGCCGTAAATTCTATGCTAACAGTTTCATTTCTCGTTTGTGGAACTCTCTTAT